CCAAATCTGATGGGGCAAGAAATTTGGGTGAAAGAAGACCAACAGACCAAGAGGCAAGCGAGTATAAGACGGGGAATAATTCTACTTACGTGCAATCAGACATGTGAGGAGAGAGAGAGAGGGGGTTCACGAGCGGGCATATAAAAAAGCACTGGGTCCCACACTAAAATATTGACGAATCACCGGCCCCACCATGTTTTTGTCAAACATTAAAAGTCCCCTCCCAAATACGCCTAACCTTCATCACCCTCAATGTACCGTCGAAACCAGAACCGACATCGGCTTACACGTGTCCACCGACCGATATTATCGGAAGATTTACGGTTGTGATCTGGGGGCTCGTGGAGACTTGGCTACCTACCCGTTACAGCGTCCTCTCACCCGTGAGGACTCGTACTTGACCAGACAAGTACACGTGGAGACAGGCTATTGGTGGTTGCTTGTAAAAAAAAACATGCAAAGTGCATGACGTGGGCCCGAATTTTTTTACAAACGAGAAGTTGGATCAAGTGGTAAGCGGCTTATTTCAGTTTAAGTAAGGTCTTGAGTTCGAACCCTTGTGTACGCAGCAGCCCTCGCTTGGAAACTCACCCACCATTTTCAGGTGCGCGATGCGGGTGAATCCGGATTAATCGAGGTGAAGCTCCGGATATCAAACGGATTAATCGAGGTGAAACTCCGGATATCAGACGAGAAACAAAAAAAAAATGACGTGGGCCCGATTTCATTGTCGGAAGAAGCGGCAAAATTCCTTTTGGTATCTGTTCATCCTTGCTAGCTGGGCCCCCCGCCGGGGCAATCAATATCTACCGCTTCGATAATAAGGACAATTACGTACTTTTGCAATTTACCCTTTTTTTTATATTTTTTACCGTGTCAAAGGAATATGCGGTTAGTACTTCGTTTATGTAATTTAAATTATATTAAATTTTAAAATAGTTTAAAGTTTAAATATTAAAAAATTTTGCACTTAAGTTTTATGAGTAGATAATTATATGTTTTTATCATAAAGTGCATTTCTTTAATTTAAAGATTGTGATTCGAATATTTTTTTTAAAATTGTAATCTGTTCAAAAAATTATTAAAGAATGTTATTTTATTATTTTATTTTATCTGATTATTTAAATTGTATAATTGGATATAGTTTAAATTAGAATAGAGTTGTTGTTATATTTTAAATAATTAATATTATATTTTTTTAATATAATTGTCTATTATATTTTTATATTATATTTT